TTTCCAGCAATGACCACGGAGCCTAGCGCTACCGTAATCTCAGCGAACACTACCGTAAGGTGTAGGAGATTCATTAATTCATTCACATATAGTTAATAAAACAGAATTGAATATGAACAATTGTTCACAATATAAATGCTAACTTCAACATAAAACATGCAAAAAAAATCCTACTGGAAAAGGTCTACGGGTCTAGTTAATAGACATGGTTAATTGGGCCTAAAGAAAATAATATGCATTTTCAGATATCATTTCAAGTGAACTTTATAGAGAACAAAGTAATCACATTGCAGGTATTTCATTGCACAGTAAGTTTAAAGTGGGATTTCAGATCGATAAACCGAGAACTTCATGAAGATTCTTTTACAGTACTCTACTTCTTTTTAGTAAGGCACTCATGGCACATTGGCACATTAATATGAAGCATACAACCATCTCTGGACACAGAATGGGTGCAGTTCGGTTACGGAGGAGGATGGGGGGTGAAATTTTGCAATTCCGCTACTTCCCATCCGTATTCATTGTTTCCAAACGTTGGCAGGTTGACAAATGGCCTCTGCAAAAATTTGACTGGTATCATTTCGTGGCTTCACAAGATTTCGCAGATCTCTACTTGATAAATCGACAGGACGATGGGAAGTGGCGGGAGTGCAATATGCCCCCATAAGCCGAACTGTGCCATCAAACGCGGTGACTCGAGCGCTTGACTGAGTCCGATCGCGCTCCATCGCGAACTCTTGGACCGCTGCAACGGATGGCAGAAGTTCCAATCAAATACGATTGGATTTGTAGTGGCGGGGCCAATAATTAGCGGCAGAGCGCGGTCCGTCATAGTCTCGCGATTTTGGAGCGCTCAAGTCGCGAAGTATAAACGCAGCCTTACTGGAACTTGACGGCCAAGAACAGTGGTAATAGCCGTAAAAGTAGACAACTTATGAAATATTATGCTGCAACCCTCCAAAATTTTAACTCAAAAACTGGCTTCAGATTACACAAAACCTCGCGGCCTTGTTCGCAGCTGGCCCTGCAATCTATAGTACTTCAGTCCCATCCCACGAATATGACTTTAATTAGCGTCCAGAAAATGGACTGTATCTTCAAAAACAGATAAAGAGCATGAGAACCCGTCGCTATAAAGCCACAACAGAAATCGAAGGAATAAAGCTGTTGATGACAAGTGAAGACCGACGATCTTATACACCTCTACGGGCTCTCTCCTTCAATCGCCGTACTTCGTTCTCCACGCCGTTCTCGCCCATCATCCGATCAAATATATCGTCGGTGATTATAGCGTCCTCCGATACTGCTGAAACATTTTATTTTACTTTTGGCCACTACCGAAGCCCTCGTAGCAGTAGGTACGATAGCTCGCAGGTTGCCGTCAGCCTCATTGGTGGAAGGGGTAAACGGCTAAACGCTATCTCGCAGTCCTTCCACCAATGACGCTGGCAACAACCGCCCGCCTCCAGCCATCGGCTCACTTCCTTCAACATAAACAATACTGAATGTGTAATAACAAGTCAAAAAGGTGTAGCACCGAAATATTGCAAGATAAGATATCTTTCGAAAAACTTTCGAGACTTCTGGTGTCTTTTGAGTTTTTTGGAATAAAACTTTTGGAGTTTCACATTGTTATTACACATTCAGATAAGAAACTGACACTCCGGACAGCACAATACTCCGATAAACAATACTGTTGGGAAAAGAACTCACACTCCTCTCCGATACGGAACAAAACCATGCGATTGTTGCTTCGATCGCATGCCATAAGCATTCCAAATGGCGATACACCAAATGCCGAACAATATGGAAAGTTAGCCCCATTGGCAAATCGAGCGCACTTCAACATCTGGCCAGAGGTCGTGAGCAACTGAAAACAATCATTCGCGAAAGAAAATAACATAGCTGACAAAAATCGCAACACCTTACCTTCAGAGTATGGGTTTTCGCATCGGCAACCAGTAGATGTCCAGAATCGTCGCACCGTATACCACTCATGTAGACAAATCTGAAGCGTAAATCTGTATAAAACATGTAATACCACAGAATCGTAGATAGGAAAAGGCGCTGTTTTTTTTCTATCTACGATTCTGGCAGATAGAGGGGGGGGGGCATTTTGTACTACCATTGCTTCCCTAGTTCCGGTTTACGAATCTCACCATGGTAAAACTTGTGAACGCTGGAGTAAGATCGTCTAGCCACCATCCTAAAACGTGTCAACTCGAGAAAAGGCTACCTAGATGGGCACATCTACGAAAAGCCGAATGCGCCCGGTCGACAAACTGCGCCGAAAAAATATAGTCAATCAAGCCATCCGTGGACAACTTCGCGCCGATGCTGGTGTCCTGCCAGTATGGATTGATCAGTTACATCAACGAAGAAGTTCAGTGATTTGGACGAGTTGTATTGGGCAGGCGATGAGGGAAGAGACGGGATGGAGGTGAAAATTACCATTAGTTCCCCCTAATAGTTTTACGGCCGCAGCCAGCTGTGACATACTGGACCACCAATATTGGCTGTGAATCGAAAATATCCGGAAGCAAAAACTCGAGAAACAGAATAAAAGTAATTTGACACAAGTGAAAGGAAGCACACCGACAAAAGCTGCTACTTCTACATCCACGGACTGCTGGTCCGGAAAGCAACAGTCCAATCACATTATGCTTTAGAGGCTCACTAAGTGTCGCAATCCGGCTCGCAATTATGATAGTACTAACAGCAACACCAGTTAGCCTTCGCAATCTTTTTATTCGCTCAATACCCGGATGTAAGCCCGGATGCGGCACATTTGTAGTGCGGCATGAAAGGCGAACCTGCTTGTATTATCCGTCTAGCTGACTCGACATAGAACTCTAGCGTCAAATCTATAACCGGCTAAAGCAGCTAGGACACGTACTTTGGGGATCTATGAAGGAGCTTGGTGGAGGAGCCATGTAGAAGCCATCCAAACAGGCTTATTGGGGTAGGCGGTGAAGCAGCAGGAACGTGTAGGGATTGGATGGAGACGGGGCTCGTTGTAGTAGTAACTTGGAAGCATGCAACTGTGCTAGTGTTGTTCTTTTCCACCTACATGAATATCTGTTCAGTTGACCTTTGTTGATTGTGAGCTCAGCAAGATCAGCAGAGAGAGGCTGTAAGCGACATATATACCATTTTCACTTTAAATTCACCACTTTTCAAACCAAATTCACCACTTTTCAAACCAAATTCACCACTCTTTTTAGACCGGGCAGTTCACCAACCAGATCACGCCAGACACCACTGCGAGCCCCTCCCCGACGGTCACGCCTACTTGTCAGCGCGGACATAGATTTTCAACACATCGACACATGGCCGACTCCGCCCATTCTTTAGAGGGTTTGTTGCGAGCTTCGAAATAACTTTTTCAACTTTTTGATTTCACATCCACTCTTTGCACAACGAAGATACTCGTAACCGCGCATTCATGCACCGGCAATTCAGGCTCCGCCCCCTTGGCCACGCCCACTTGCTTTGAATTTTGTTTTTCAAAATTTTGCATTTTTGGACTGCTCCATGAAGCCCCGCCCACTGTGAGAGGCTCCGCCCACTTCGAAGCCCCGCCCACTTTTCAAAAATGGTGCAAATCGGCAGTATAGAGCCTTGGCTTGCATGCTAGGGTCTCGTCCGTCACTCGGAACAAATAAATCAGGCAAAGTTTGTTCCGAATGACCAGCAATACCCTAGCCATGCAAGCCAAGGCTCTATACTGCCGATCTGCACCATTTTTGAAAAGTGGGCGGGGCTTCTTCAAAGTGGGCGGAGCCTCTCACAGTGGGCGGGGCTTCAGCAGCAGTCTAAAATGCGACATTTTTAAAAATTTCAAAACTCCGAAAAAAGCAAGGTGGGCGTGGTCAGCCTAGATTGCCAAACCCTTAGAGAATGGGCGGAGTCGGCCATGTGTCAATGCCCAGTCGTTTTCAGTCAAAGTGTTTGTGGGAAACAGCAAAAAAGAAAAGTCACATAAGCAGAAGTTATGAAACAAGATTTGAAAATCTATGTCCGCGCTGACAAGTAGGCGTGGCCGTCGGGGCGGGGCTCGCAGTGGTGTCTGGCGTGATCTGGTTGATGAGTTGCCCGCCCTAATAAGTGTGGTTAATTTGATTTGGAAAAAGGTGGTGAAATTGTGAAAAGTGGTGAATTTGGTTTGAAAGGATGTGAATGTGCTTTGAAAAGTGGTCAGTTTATTTTGAAAAGGAGTGAATGTCGTTTGAAAAGGGGTGAATTTGAAGAGAAAATGGTATAAAATGTGACGCCAGGCCAAAATGTTAAGTCGAGTCAGCTAGTTAGCAAAGCTAGTTTTCAGTGCAATGTCGCCGCACCGATCCCCGTAATGCACGCATAATATCCAATTTTACCGTTTCAAAAAGGATTGAAAGGCCAGGTGCTCTTCAGGGACTGATTGATGTTGTACACTTTACTAACTAAGTGAACACACCGTTTCAGAGCTTCTTCTCCACGATGTGCAGGTAACTGTTGCATACACCGACTGTATACTTTTTCAAGCCGATTTCCAACCATTTCCATGCACGTGAGGGTATTAGTCCCTGCAATTATAGATTGTTTTGAAATGGAATGCTTCCTGACAGAAACTTTTATTGACCGCTATGAACTCACGAAGATCCGTGAAGAAAATCTGACTTCCAGTACTATCCGCAAAGCATGGCTGTCGTTCGTTGACGAGTGGCGAGCCTTCGGACATGGGAAAAACATAACTTCCAATAATCTGAAACGAAAGCAACACTTGATTTATTTTGATTGCGCGCGCAGTTGGCGACGAAGGACCAGGACTAGTTTATAATAGCGTCACTCTATTAATGAGCATTTCTTTAATAATAGAAATGATGCTCATAGATTTTTCACATACCCTATTATATTCAGTAGCATCAAAGATTGTGGCAGACAGCTGGGCGCCGAATTTCTTCACCGTAATGAAGTCACCGTTGCAAGTGTACGACAGTGCTGAAATATTTGGCCTTGAAAAACTGCTCCAGCAAATTTAGCCCCGAAAACAGTATCAGAAAAATTTTAAACATTATCTGGAAAAAGAGAAATTCACCTCGATGGCGAGCTGCGAGCCCACTCGCTAAGATACTGAGACGCTTTATTTTCGGCTCATAAAGATACAAGTTCGATCGGTCGAGTATTCCAATAGCAGCTAGAAAAAAATGAATTGATAATGACGGACAGAAACGCACATAAGACACCCGGAAAACGGAAACTTGTGTGAATTGAATGCAGTAAACACTATAGCGCTCTCAAAACCTCTTGAAGCGAGAGAAATGAACCAATATCAAAAACGAACCACCCGGCCGAAGGACGCAAATAGCGCAAGGTTGATCGAATCCTTTCAAAGTAAGATTGTCTAGGAGCCGACCATCGCTGGTTGAAAACAGTATCTGCAAAAAAAGAATACTCCGCT